GAAATACAGTAGGTTTATCTGTGTCACATTTGTCTAAGCCTCACTACTCATGTGCAAAGAGGTGTATTACTAACTGCCTCTACTGCTCCATCCAGGCCACAGAAAGGTAAGCTATTGTGTAAGCTCCATTGTTCCAAATCCTGTGGATGCTCTTTTGCAAAAGATTGATGGATTTGAAAGGCAGAGTTAGAAAGAGAGAGACATCAAACTTGCACCAGCTGGTTCACTCCCCAAATGGCCACAATGGCCAGAGCTGGGCTAGTCAGAAGCCAGGGGCCAGGAGCTACTCTCAGGTCTTCCATATGTGTGCAGAGGACCAAGGATTTGGGCCATCTTCTGTTGCTTCTCCCAGGCACATTAGCAGGAAGGTGGATCAGAAGTGGAGAAGCTGGGACTCAACCTGGCCCCTCTATGGTACATTGACACCACAGGAGGCAGCTTTACTACATCACAGTGCCAACTCCATGTGTGCTTCTGAATAGCACACCAAGTTGATAATTTTGTCCCTTCTGACTCTACTCTCTCCCTTCTCTTGGCTCCAAGACTAAATATGAACCTGGGTTTCCATCCTACCCATTCCTCCCCTCCACCTGTGTAGGACCATCCTTCTATACTTAGTTTTTACCTGCTGAAGTTCTTCAGCAGTCAGTCCTAGGCCATCTCCTATTTTGAATTGTTTCCTTACTATATTTTCCTCCTACTATCATACATTGCGGTATGCATCTCTTCTGCTGAATAAAAGATGGACTCCTAATGAAACTGCTAAATGTATCTTGAAAATAACGTGTTGGGCTTCCTACCATTGTCTATACCTATAATGTCACGATGCACTTAAACAGCAGAATCATGGACTTGTGGCTGCTGTTGAAGGACTATACTATTGTGACAATACAGGGGAAAACAGTGGGAGGGGGAAGAGGGATCTTATCACTTAAATCTTCAGGTGTTTGTCTTGGTGATTAAGATTCCAGTTAGAAGCCAGTGTTGTAGTGCAGCACTTTAAGCTGTCACTTGCAACACTGGCAACCTATGTCAAGAACTGGTTCATGACCCAGCTGCTCTGCTTCCAATTCAGCTCCCTGCTAATGCTCCTGTGAAGGCAGAAGACAGCCCAGGCTCATGGACCCCTGCCTCCCATATGGGAGACCTAGAAAGAGTTCTTGGCTCCTGGCTGTGGCCTGGCTGCTGTGCTCCTGCTACCCCCACTTCTCACTGCTTTCCTCTCTGTTTCCCCCTGTTACTCTGCCTTCCAAATAAACAAGAAATCTTTTCTTTAAAGATGTATTAATTTTTATTTGAAAGGCAGATTTATACAGAGAGGAGAAAGAAGATTTCTCATCTTCTGGTTCATTCCCCAAGTAGCTGTAAAGGCCAGTGATGAGGTGATCCGAAGTCAGGAGCCAGGAGCTTCTTCTAGGTCTCCTGAATGGGTGCAGAGGTCCAAGGACCTAAGCCATCCTCCACTGCTCTCCCAGGACATTAGCAGGGAGTGGGACTGGGAAGTAGAGCAGGCGGGACTAGAACCAGTGCCCATCACAGGTGGAGGATCTACCTGTTACATCAACACATAGGTCCCCAAATAATACTTTTTTTTAAGACAACAGTTAGGATGCTGTCATCTCGCAATGGTGATTCTGGGTTTGATACCAAGCTCCACCCCCTGACTACATGCAGACTTCGGGAGAGAGCTGTGATGACTCATGTGGTTGGGTCCTGTTAACCACATAGGACACCTGGTCTGACTTCCCACTGCTTGGCTTCATCACGCTGTTGCAAGTACGGATGTTCTCTTTCTCAAAGACATTTTTAACAACCACTCTCATATTTATTCACTTTTCATCCCCCTAGTTACAAAACTAGCTTAAGCTTACTATTGTTAATCAAACAGGGCTCCCACAACAGGCCATTCTCACCTACTTAAAACAGTCAATCCCATGTTATCCTCAGGATAATAGTCAAAACGTTCATCAATCTGACCCATGCATTTTCCCATTATTCTGTGCTGCTCTATTCACTTTTATTTTCATTTTTAAAATCAATTCCTTAAAAACATTCAAATACTTCTGGTCTCAGCCTTCCAAGATTTTGTTCTGCAACCCAAAGATTTAATTTAAAGCAAACTCTTCTAAGTTCCTTTCCAACATGACACCTTTTTGTTTGTTTGTTTGTTTTTGCATTCAATCCATTTATTACCAATTAACTGTGCAACTACTCACCTAATGTACATCTCTAAAATTATACTTCAAGGTATTTGGAGCAGATACCTATACTCCTAATTACCTAAAAGGCCCAGGCCACATGAATTTACCAGCTTGCATGTAACTCAGAAGAACCCGGTCTTCACTAGGCTGCCAGAACTGAATCAGAAATGCTTTACTGCACATTTCAAATAAGCTTATAGGCAGTCTACCTTGAGGTCATCATTACTAACTGGTAAATATATAGTTGAAGGACTCAGAATCTAATAATCTAATGATATAGTAATAATTTGAAATTTTATGGATGTAGCTAGATATCTTGAGTTGTAAAGAAAAAAAGAATTGGCTATAGAAATTTACAGTCCACTATTCTCTGGTGAGTTATAGGTATTAAATATTCAGTAATATTTAAGATGCAAAAATTAAATTATTATAACATGCAATTATTCTTAACTTTAATACTCCAAGACAGTTCTAGTTATATAAAACTAACATGACAGACTGAATTAAATAGTGTTTATTATAACCTGAAAGGCCATCCTGTGACATCCCATCCCTGTCACAAAACCACAGAGCAGAAATGCATTCTGCATCAGAACTAGCTTTGCTTCCGACAAAGCACTTACTATAAAATAATTTTGAGATAAATGCGATAAAAGCTAAAATTCAATAAATATAATATCTGTAATACTTTTACATTGCAAAATTATACTTTCAAAAGCAAGCATTAAGCACAGCACATAAGATGTGGCTTGAGACGGCTACACCTTCTGTCGGAATGCCTGGGGTTGCATCCTACTGTGCTTCTGACAGCAGGTGACGACCCGGTACTGGGGTCCCTGCCACCCATGTGCACTCCCAGACTGAGTTCAGGGCTTATTCTGTTGCTCTGATCCAGGCTCTAGCTGTTGCGGACACTGGGGGAGTAAACCAGCAGACAGAAGATATCTGTATATATCACTCTTTCTGCCTTTGAAATAGGAATTTTAATAATAAACCATACTTCATGTTCTACAATATGAGTACAAACATACTATGACTTGAACAATGACTTGAAAATCCAATGTTCTCCAGAAGTATACCGTGAACCCAGATTTCAAATACAGTGTCATAAATTTGAAGTAGTAGTAATACTGCCAGTTTCATTAAAATAAAAGTTGCCTTGTAAAGTACAAATTTAAATCTCTTTTTAATAGAACAAAAAAGTGGTCAAAATTGTTCTATGTACTTTCTACAGACTGCAGTGACCTTTGGCTACCACTAGGTGGTACTATCAGCTTCAGCAATCTAGGGAATAAAAATGCTAGTTGGCTACTAGTAATTAGTATATATTAATTGTGTTAAATATCTCAATTCCCTGGTCCCAAAAAGCTCATATACTTGTATGAATCAGATCAGGACTTTGAATTCTCACCTAACATATACAGCCAGTGTAATCTTACAGGATATTGAAAAATATACTTAAAATGTAATGAAAGGTAAGAAACAATCTTTCACAGATGGGTTTTTTATTCAGTTCTAGAACTGAAAAAACGTAAGAAATAAATACAAAGGCTTTTCAATCCCACAATATCACTTCAAAAATATTCCGTTATTATTTATCTGCTTTAAGTTAAATGTTAGTTCTTGCTAATAATATTTTTAACCAGTGCTTTGTTAAGATTAATCTGGATTCTACAGGGAAAGCAGTATTATTTTGTATTATAAAAGAGCAAGATATGAGGGACCCAAAATGATCACCAATTTGAATATGCTACCCATCATAACTGCGTGAATCTTAATAAAAGAAGTAATTTCCTGAAACAATAACGATCAAATAATTCTAATTCTAAGCAATGTATTATCGGATCTCTAATCTAAATAAAAGAATAGACCAAAGTGAGAACAAATACAAGTCATTTTGTATTGAAAGTTAAAATATCCAACTACCTGTAGGAAGAAACAAACTAGTTCAACCCAGGACTCTCCTACCCCCTTTAAAGGCTAAGCGCAACTTGGGCTAAGTACACAGAAATAAGACCACCCTGGGTCTCTACAGCTTCATGTGAAAACAAACTACTAAATAACTTGAAAAGCACTAGTCCCTCTTTATGAGAAGAGGATACATCCTAAGACCCCAGGGGCTGCCTGAAATCAGACAGTTCCTAACCCATAGCTACTGTTTTTCCTTTACACGCACACATAGCTCTGACAAAGTTTAATTTAAACATTAAGCATACTAAGATATTAACAATAACTAATAACAAAATAATGATAATAATAATGTAAACTAACAAGTTGCTTCAGATGCATGAACTATTTCTGGAATTTTCGATTTAGTATTTTCAGAACACAATTTACTAAAAGTAACACAAATTTCAGAAAATGAAACTGCAGATACAGGGTGGGACTACCGTACAAGATGAATGAGTGTTTAACAGAAAGACTATTACAAAGTCTATTAGTATTCCCAAGTTCACATTTCCTACAACTGACTGTAACAAGGATTCCAACTGTAACCATTACAGAAACACACTGCAACTAGGTTGTTCCTTCCTAAAGAGAAACGAAGTTTCAACACACATTTTACAAGAACTTTAGAGGAAGTTTTTTTTAAAACATTTTGACCTTTTCAGAAAAAAAAAATTCTGACCTTTTCCCACTATATTCATTAATTTATTCTAATGCTTTTCTGAAATGTCAATAGTTCTAGATACATTTAATGAGAAACGTTATGATAAAAATTAGTGTCATACAATTCACTCCTATTTTACTCAAAATTCTTCTCAAAACTGAAAAATGACTATTGTAGATATGACATACCTTCAGAGTTATGTGCAGTTTTCTTATGCTTTCGGCAATAAACCCTATTTATAAAAAAGGAAGATACAGAAAATTACCAAGTAAGCAGACAAAATTGAACTCAACTTTTGGTTGTTGATATCAGAAGTCACAATCGTGTAATGGTTTTATTTTCTGAAGACAGTGACAGAGAGCAAGAGAGACCACGAGGCACCTGTAATTCATTCCCTAATTGCCTCCCACAGCCAAATTTGGATCAGGCCACAGTCAAGAAGCCTGGAACTCAATCTGAGTCTCCCATCCGGGTGGCAAGGACCCAAGTACTCGAGCCATCAGCTACTGCCTCTCGGGGGAACATCAGCAGAATGCTGAGACTCACGGCAAGGCACTCTGATATGACACATAAGCATGCTAAGTGGTGGCAGTGTACCAGCGCTGCCCCTAAACTCATGTTACACAATAAGAAAAAGGAGCAGTATACTTCATCCTAGTCACAAGTTGCAGTAAAACATATCTTACCATTAAAATTCTTATATCAACTCTCTTCCACACCCACCACACGGACCCCAGCATGAGAGCATTAAACTCCTTATCTAAAACATTCTTTATGATGAGAATAAAATGCCTGAAATGGAAATTTGTTTTTACAAAAGCATAAAGGTATTACTGCTAAAAAAAAAAACCACTTAAGATATAGCAAATAATTACATATAAATTCCTTGCGAAGGTTTCTCTCGGATTTGAGCTTTATCGTGCAATGCACAATGGTAGTGGTATGTCCTGTGGCATGTTTTCACATCACAGCCAATTGTTGCTCCAGGACAATGGCACAAAGAACACATCTACAGAAAAACAACAAAACAGTATTAGCAGTATGTGATTTTGCTGAGGCCAAGGTATCAAGTTAGAGGCATATTATCTTTCTGTCAAGAGAAACAAACTGGTTATTGAAAATTCCGTGCTTAAGAATGTTACACTTTCTTAGAAACAGTTTGAATAAAATTCTTCTAAGGGTAGTTCTTCCTCATGCTAAATACTAACAAAAATCAAAAGGACATTATTAATGTCTGTTGTTTCATTATGATCTAGAAAAACTTGAAATACAGTAGATCCGGAATGTGAGCTATATGCCACATTATAAAACAATCAGATCTTGGGGACAATGTTTCCTCATTCCAGAGAAAAGGTTTCATCAAAATTTCCACTTAGTTAATGAGAATCTCTGGGAGAAAAGCCTTAGGTATTATTTAGGAACCTGGTAAAAATCAACTTGAAGTGAAGCAAGGAGAGAAGATAAAAGAATTAGGTAATTTTCGCAGTATCCTGAGCTCTGGGATATTCTGTGATACCAAGTTGATTACATTGTAAAAATGTGCTCACCTACTTCAATTGAACCTGCTACTTACCTTTCAGCAAATACACAAATGAATAATCTTCTAACATACTTTAAGACATGTTTAACTCCTAAATTTAATGGATAATTCATATTAACTAGCTGATGCTCTAGATTTAGAAAACACTTCTTTCACAAAAAAAATGTTAACAGTGATTATTAGTGGTTTTGATTCATATATTGGAGTGTTCTATATAAGTGGACTTTAAATGAAGCTATCTCCTAAAAAAAAAATTCACAAATAAGGTAAAGATGAAAAACTATTTATTTGCTGCATGGTTACTGTCCATCTTATTCTAAACTGTCCTCCTCTTAACGTGAACATAAAGTCATTTGCCATCCTAACTTTTGTTGTTTCTTGGCTTCTAAACAATTTTGATGTAACAAGTGGCTAACACAAATTGCAATGAAATTTCTTACATTTTTCTAAGCAAGTCAAACACTCAAAACTCTCAGTGAAGCCATTGTTTAAAAATATTCATATCATAAGTCAGAAATGAAACACTCTCAATACAGGTACTTCCCAGAAAACACGAGGGCAAGTACCCATTATTAGTACTTGTGAAAAGACCACACTTCCTTAAATAAATACAAAAGCTTCAAAGTCTGACTGTAAGAAGATGTACTCCGCCAAATTATCAGGCAGAGAACGGCACTGGATGATTTATATATTCTTATGAAGGAAGAGTATTTATTTTACAATTTAAGCATAACGTTCTATTATTTCACTGAATTACATTTTTATCAAAAACTATAAACTACATAAATTCTAGAAAATACAAAGAAAATTTAAGATTTATACTCACCAAATGCCTTATAGTGTTATGATGCTTACATGAATTCTGCATATATTAATCTGCAATCAACTGAATATTACCCAACCTCTTTCAGGACTCTACTGCAAGTAGTTTACCTTAAAAGTATATCTAAAATGGTTTCAGAAAGGTGTACGTGGAACATACATTACTAAATTCAATTACTAAGCAATACTGAGTGTTGTTAAAAATACTGCACTGAACTCAAATACCAGAAAGATGGTGAGCTAGGTACCCTTCTATGTTGCTGGAAATTGGTACATGCCCGCTAAAAAGCAAGTTTCCTTATTTTTTGGAGAGGGTTTTTTTTTTTAAGTTTATATTCTTTGATCTTCCATAAATTTGGTCTTAAAAAATGAGACCTAAACAAATTTAAGTACCAGCACAACCATAGAATTGTTTAAAAACAATCCCAAATGGAAAATCATCTATGAAAAACAAGTCATAGTTCAATAAATGACAGCACACCCATTGGAAGAGGTAATCTATAGGCACTCTTTTCCAAGACACTTTACCAGCAAGAGAGAAAGCTGATGCATGTTAAGAAAAGACATGGATATAAACCCGTGATCATGAGCCCAATGATGTTTATGACACACATTCTTTGAAAGCAAGCTGAAGTAAAAGCAGCACGATGCTGCAGGGCTAGCTTGGAGTGGTTTTCCCCATTATTTTCTGATTTTCCTACAATGGGCAAAAGTACACATACATGCCAAAAACATTACAAAACATAAATACTCTGGCAAATGCTTTCAAATTCCCATCCCTGTCTGGTATGAATGCAAAGGAAACCGAAAGCCCAACATACATCAAAAGCAGTGTTTGGCAGCTTGTAAATCTGCCCATCGTAACTGATTTAAGTTGTTATGGTAAAAGGAACCAATTCTGACAGTAGCCAGTTAACTACAATAATTTAAAACGTCAGAAAAATCTTACTTTATTATCAGTTTTACTCAAGGAAGAGAAAGACAACAATATAACAACAAAAATATGTTCAGTATGGAAAATTCTTCTCAAGTTTAGGAGTAGGTATTTTGCTGAATTAGAATTCAGACCTGTTTCATACAGTGTTCATATCCAAAGAGTCAAATTTTTGGTAAGGTACTAACAAAATGAGAAAAATTATCCATAATAAAATTCAAATAAAATATTAAATCCCCCTGCTTATCTATCTAAGCAAAAGGAAAATTGACCTTCAATGTACTACTCTACTCCAACCCCTAAACAACCCTTTACAACTTAAGATATATAAAGTGTTCATTTTCACTCTTATTATTTTATCCTTTTACACAATTATCACTATATAGATGTTACACAACACTTTCCAGACAAATTATTGAAGGCTAAAGTTTTATTAAATAGTGCTCAATAAATATGTCAATTCAAGACCATAGTATCTTATGGCATATTCTCTTCTTATTCATGTTTTCAACACCTGAAATTTTAACATAAATTATCTTCAGGGATTTATAAAATATCTGAACACTCTAAGATTGAGAAAAAGCAAACAGATTCATCCGGTTCAATGAGCACAGAATGAGTAGTAGTAGCATGAGTGCTTGGGGGAAAAAAAAGATCAGCTCTCTTAGAGACAAGGATGAGAAGCAAAGAAAGACAGAAAGGAAAATTAAAGAAGCTGAGAAACCAGATAGGTAGCTACTAATTTTCTTTTCTTTTTTTTTTTTTAATTGCGAGAACTAAAAATAAAACAGAGACCCTTTCAGAAAAATGTACAGTAACTGGAAAAATGGGATTTCTACTACTGCCACCAACTCCCTCACCACAGCAAGACACCAGATGGCAGGAGCTGAGGCATGGCATTCCGCTTCCCACCAATGGGTCACTCTAATTTCTCACCATCCCTACCAGGCAGCAGCAGCATTCACAGCTGCCTCTCGTTATCACCATGCACTGTATCCATGTCTCCCTCCAATGTGGGGAAATCAAAGTTTACCTGAGGGAATACCTTCTCCAAAAACAACAGAAGCTTCCCTTTCCACCCCCTCATAAAAGGCTTGATTCACATATCAGCTATTCCCTTGCAAGCCACTTTCTTTCTTTTTTTTTTTTTTTAAGATTTATTTATTTTTATTGGAAAGGCAGATATACAGAGAGGAGGACAGAGAGGAAGATCCTCCCTCCATTGATTCATTCCCCAAGCGGCTGCAATGGCCAGAGCCAAGTCAATCCAGAGTCAATCTGAAGCCAGGGGCGTGAAGCTTCTTCCGGGTCTCCCATGCAGGTGCAGGGTCCTAAGGCTTCCAGCCATTCTCTACTGCCTTCCCAGGCCACAAGCAGGGAGCTGGAAGGAAAGCAGGGTTGCCAGAACACTAACTGGTGCCCATATGGGATCCCAGCACATGCAAGGCTACTGTGCTGGGTCCCCTAATATCTTTAAGAGAAGTGAGCCCGCCTTTGATCGAGCCCATTGCCGGGGGTGGCCACACGATTGTCCGCTGGGCTGGCAGGGGTCACCAGCAGTCTCACTGCACTCAGCATTCATGAGGCTTGCTGTCCAATCCACATCCCCCCACCAAGCGTGCAGGTGTGTGGTGCTGGGGACATGGCAGACTTGGGCCAGGGGGAGGACATTTTCTGTACTTCGCATAAGGCAGCAACCTGCTAACTGAAAAGGATCCACCTCCGAAACATCTCAACCAAGTTCTGCTATGTGGCCCTCCTGCAGGATTTTACAACGGACTTCCGCAATCTCCAAGGCAAAACAAGTCAGCAGTAGCAGGGAGGAGGAGCCACCATTTACCACAGTCCTCGTGATGAAGCGTGGGGAGTCGTATGGAAAATGGACAAAAGCAATCAAAGTTCTCTGGATGAGCAAGAACAGGTGGAAAGTGTAACCTACATTGTGATAGAAGTTAAGGTGTCAACTCAAGATGGGAGAAAATTAACCTGTTCAAGTTACCTGATGACAAATTATGAGAGTGTTCCCCCTTCCCCACAGCATAAGAAGGTTGTGTGCATGCGTGCAAAACAACATGGTCTGCCCCTGGAGTATCAAAAGTTAAATGCAATAGAAGCAAATGACAACAAAGGAAAAGTCTCCCAGGAAATAGAAGACATGCTCAAGAAGCAGGAAACTGAGCCTCAGTAGAATCTTCTAGAATACACCTAAGGACAGTCTCCCCTGTGTGCCACGAGAAGACTTCTTCCTGTTAGGTGTCTCCATGTTGAATTCGTTTCCAGCAATGCCCTGAAGGGACAGCTCATCGGGTAGTGCCTCCTTCCCAAATTAGAAAGAGGAGTAAGATGGCCAAAACCCCGAGGCTGTGATAAAGGCTCACTGCCTACTTCTGTGGATGCGGCTGCTTTCTCGACTTGGTCTGTAGCATCTTCTTGTGTGTTTCCGAGGATGGTTGATGGTGGTTCTGAAGAACTGCTCTGCTCTGGTTTTTTTGTTTTTGTTTTTGTTTTTAATCAGCTTGATAAGCAAGCAAATTGCAGACAGTTACTAATAATATTTTTGGAAATTGCAAAAATGGCATACTGTTCTTAGAGGAATAAATGTTTTGTGGCATAAAAAAACAGAAGTGCAAATTTCTTCATAATGGTAGTTCTTTTATTTTTCTCATCTATTTAATTTGCTACTTCAATAGGCCTAATAAACCTTTATGCCAGT